ACCCGCCTTCAGAGTCAAGAACCAATCAAATTTTGTGAAGACAAGCGACCTGAGAGCGCAATTCACAATGCTACGATCGCTATCGCGCCCCGTGTATCGAGTTTCACCCTGGCTGCGATGACAGCCGCTAATCGCTGTAGTTTGTCGCTSCCCGTGTGTCGAGCCCTTTAGGTGCAGGCGGGGCTCAAAGTCCATCAGAGTGAAGAAGTCTCTTGGACGAGAGACGAAACGTTTCACTCAAGAAGAACCCATCCAGAGGACCTACTTATTTTTTCTTTTTGATCTACAATGGAATGGTTCACAAATAAACATATCCAGGTGTTAGAACGTTACTTAAGAGAATCTGTGGAAACAGCTGAAAACTGCTGTTCACAAACGCTCTCTATCCAACCTCTCTGAGCTCCAGCTGTTTTACAAGGAAGAATGGGCAAGTTTCAGTCTCTCCATGTGTAGAACTTATAGCGACATACCACAAGTGACCTGCCGCTTTAATCGCAGCAAAATGTGGTGCTACACAGTATTAACGCAAGGGGGCCGAATAATTTTGCACTCTCAATTTTTCAGTTTTTATTTGTTGAAAGGTTTAAAATATCCAATAAATTTCGTTCCACTTCACGATTGTGTCCCACTTGTTGAAATTTTATATCTTTATGTTTAAAGCCTGAAATATGGAAAAAGGTTGAAAAGTTCAAGGTGGCCGAATACGACACTGTATCTGCTGAGTCAGCTAAAAGTTTAGATTCATGCAAACTTCAAGCAAACTCTTCAGAAATCGTTAAATAATAAGTAAAAGATGCTTCAGAGCTGCATCAGAAGGTCTGGTCTGGATTCAGATGTTCTTCTGTTGGTTCTGCAGTCCATCCCGTCCTACAGCTCGGTCCATAAGGAGGCCCAGGACCTGGTTCTGTTCCTGGATCTTCCTGCTCCTCCTCCAGTCAGCCCACAGTCCCTGCTGCACCCGACCCGGCTCAGCCTGCGCTACCTGATGGACGCCAACCTCCCCGGTAACTCCGCCCCCTCCTGTCTGTCCCGCACACCTGCACCTGCGCCGCCCGTGTCACTTCCTGTCTCTGTTTGCCGTCAGACGACCTGCACAGGTGGGTCTGCCAGCTGCTGGAGCGAGTGGGCGTGGCCGACAAGACGTCGCGTCCTGTCCTGCCGCGGTACGACCTGCAGACCGCCGCCGCCATCATCGTCACCATGAAGCTGATGGTCGGCCTGAACGACCGCACCGAGTGGTAACTCGTCACTCCAGCTGAACTTATTTATTTATTTATTTAATTATTTAGTTATTTATTTAGTTGTTTGTTTGTTTTTTTAGGTTTAATAACAGATCAGTAAATAAACAGGTGTGACTCTCTGTGTTTCAGGGATTTATCAAACGCAGTGGGACATCAGGACTCCTCAGGTCGGTTCTTGGCCTCACTGACCCGGTTCAAACATTCGGCTCAGATCAGGATGTTCTGACTTTTAGTTTATTTTTATTCTTTCCAAATCATTTATATTTATTATTTGTTTATGTTCATTTAGACTTTAAAACTTTTAAATATGAACAAACTACTGCCTCTGTTTTGATTTGAGCTTGTTTGCCTCTTTTTTTATCTTTCAGCAACTACTAATTTTAGCTTTTAGCCTTTGTGTGCTAATTATAGCTTCTATTTGCTTGTTTTAGTTTTTAGTTACAGTTTAGCTCATTTAGCTACTGAAAGCTAATTTGAGTTTTTACAGTCTTGATAAATTCATGTATCAAGTTCAATTAACAATTTTAGTATTTAGCTTCTGTGTGCAAACTTTGGCTTTTAGCTCGTGTGCTACATTTAGCTCTTAGCTTCTCTGTTCTGAATTTCGCCTTTGGCTTATGTAGGGTCCTTTTGTTTTTATTTAGTCTTGATAATGTTAGCATTTAGCTTGTGTTAATTTTAATTTTTGTTCATGAGCAAGATACGTGGCGCCGGTGCATGGCAGCCCCGCCTCTGTCAGTGTGCCCCAGGGCAGCTGTGGCTACAATGTAGCTTACCACCATCAGTGTGTGAATGTGAGTGTGAATGGATGAATGTCTTAGTGTAAAGTGCTTTGGGGTCCGGAGGGACTTGATAAAACACTCTATAAGTTCAGTCCATTTACCGTTTAATTTTGAATTTATGCTGTGTCTCATCAGCATGTATAATGTTTACTAATTTTAGCTTTTAGTTTATGTATGCTAATGTCATCTTATCTGTCTTAATATTAATTTTTAACAACATTTAGATCATTTTAGCTACTGTAAGCTTATTTTATTTTTATAGTCTAAATTTAGCTCTTAGCTTATGTATATTTAATTTAGCTTTTAGCTTATGTATGGTCATTTTGTTTTTAGCTAGTCTTGTAAATTTTAGTTAGTAGCTTTCATATGTTGATTTTAATTTTGAACTTCTGTATTGGGATTTTAGCTACTATTTTGAAAATTTTAGCTACTGTTGGATAGTTCTCTAGTTTTATTTCATGCTGTGCCTAGCTTTTAGCTTGTGTGTGCTAATTTCATTTTATCTTATCTCTAATATTAAACTGCAGTTTAGTTCATTTTAGCTACTGTAAGCTAATTTTATTTTTATGGTTTTGCTAAATTTAGCTTTTAGCTTCAGTTAACAATTTTAGCCTTTAGTGTATGTATGCTAATTTTAGCTTATGAATGCTAATGTTGTCTTTTAGCTTGTGTACTAATTTTAGTTTCAATATTTAGCCTTTAGCTTAGCTTTATTATGAGATTGAATCTTTTTATTTATTTATTTATTTTTATAAAGTTTATTTTGTTTCTCTGCCGACCCACAGAGGACCTGTTCAGCTTCAGGAGGTGGTTCAGACTGGTCCAGACCGCTCTGAGCCGGGCTCAGCAGAACCGGGACCAGGACCTCAGCAGGTGAGCCGTCAGGTGACCCACAGGTCAAAGGTCAGAGGTTAACCCTCGACTCGTCTGAATGTTTTTGTTTTGTTTTCCAACAGGAAACAGTGGAAACCAAAGAATCCCATCATCGTCAGCAGGAAGGATAAGAGTCGGTCCCTGAAGAGGAAACGTAAGAAAAGAGTTTTACTTTGTTCTAGAAGGGGTGTGTGTGTGTGTGTTTGTTTATGTGTTTGTGTTTGTCTATGTGTGTTTGTGTTTGTGTTTTTGTTTAGGTGTGTGTTTGTTTATGTGTTTGTGTTTGTCTATGTGTGTTTGTGTTTG